GCGCCTGTCGAGCCAGGTTGAGCACCCTGGTGTGTATACCAGGAATCGTTTCTGTCAGTGAACTGTTCTTGAGAGAAATTCCAACTCAGAATATTAATAACCGTGGCCGTAATAATAACCGATGGCCATTTATCCATCACCTCCTACGTACTGTGCTCCACGTTTTAATGGATCGCTTCTATAATGGTGACTATGAAATGGAAGCAGTCTTGTGTTTATTTTTCACATTGGAAACTGAGGCGCAGTGGGAGTTAGAACCCAAGTCTACTTAACTCCACACCACTGCTCTCTGTACCACACCTATTGGCTCTATGGACACGTCTAGAATTGGCCTCTGTTACACGTGCCCGAGAGGTATATGATTCAGCAGAAAGGTTTTTGGTTTGGAATAAGGAAGCCCAAATCCCGGTTGTGCCCGCTCAGCAGCGAGTTCTGAAAATGTGCGTGTCACTTGAATCTTTCAGTCTCTCCTTTCTTTCCCTGTTGAGGAAATCATATTTGCTACATCCATCTCTGAGGGTTTTTATAAGGATGAAACGAGATCATAGCTGGTAAAGTGTCTTGCAAACTTGATGCGCAGATAGAGAGCTTCCATTATTACGTTTCTGGTAATGTTAGGCTATTTTTTTCATCATACTCACGCTCTTTTGATTGGATTTAAAGACCTTCAGCTCGTTCTTTCTGTCCCTTGCTGGTTTTTGGCCTTAGAACAGCAAGGGCATCTTTTAAAAGAGGAAGCCGTCCTCATGCTGTGGATTTCGTAGCAGGGCAAAGATCACCGTGGCTCAGTGCCTTTCTTCCTAGGGAACTTGGGACACAGGGTGTGCCTTACTTTACCTTTTATTTATTTATTTATTTATTTATTTATTTATTTATTTGTTTGTTTATTTTATTATTTATTTATTTGTTTGTTTATTTTATATAATCATCACTTACTATGTCTCCTGCATATCCAGCTCTGTTCAAGACCCTGTGTGAACCAGGAATTAAAAGGGCAGGTAAAACCTCAGGGCTTATCATAGAAGGTGGATAAACAAAACACCTGGAAATGGCACGTGTGCATACACACCCCCATGTGCGGCTTACACTGTAGTGAGAGCCAGTGCGAGGTGACTGCCTGCTGGGATAGCTGGGGACAGCCTTGCAGAGGAGGTACTGAGGTTTAAACTGGCCTGAAATGCTAGGATTGGCACTGGGGGTTGGGGTCTGATTGGAAGTGAAGGAGGCAGTGACAGGCAGGGAGGTAGTACAGATAAGTAGGGAGAGAGAGGATTATCTATGCATGTTTAGGAAGGGCTAGAACACTGCACTGAACAGTTGAAGAGGGAGAGGGGGAGGTGGAGGTGCCCTGCGTGTGTGCATCTGTGTGTGTGCATGTGTGCCCTCAGGGTTGGGCCCGGTGCTATAGGACCTAGAGAACCAGGTCTAGAGTTGTGGGGCAAAGGCATCCAGAATGATAGATAGTTCTAGAGAAAGGCAATGGCAGTAAGACGAATGGTGGAAGCAGAGGAAGCTTGGAGCAGAAGGCTGCAGTCTGGAGACCAGGTACTGGCATCTGGATGGCAAAGTGTCCATAAAAGTGCAGAGGATTTATTGGGCAGACTTCGTTAGGACACAATCCATAGTGCTCAGCGACAAACTGAAGAATGGAGTTTAGAAGGGAAGAGAAATGAAAGATAACTCCATTAAGTTGTTTTGATTTAGAGGTTGGACTGTTTTTCTTGTTCAGTCCCGAGATTCTCAGCTCTTTCATGAAATGTGGGTAGCTGACAGTTGCACCTCGTTTTCAGTGCTTAAATTATCCAAGTTCATTTATGAATATTTCATTTTTAGCTAGCTAATTGGTCATGAGGATCTGAATTATGGATGTAGCAAGATGGAAGATTAGTTTTGTCACCAGCGTGTCTGAGGCTTTCCAAAGCATTCAAGGCCAATCCTGCGTTCCTGCCTTGACGAGAGATTGCACACTGCTCGTCGGTGTAATCCACGCAGGCTTGTCGGGTGCCTCCTGTGCCGGGCGCTGGACTAAGTGCTGCGGGTGGTTGAAACAGAACCAGGGCAAGGACTCTGCCTTCAGGGAGCCTCCAGTCTAGGGAGATGGAGACAGATGACGCCGCCGTGAGGCTCACGGTGCATCTTTCTGCCATCTTGGGGGTGCACTACCTTACACATGGGGTGTCGGGCACAGGGAGTTCTGCGCAGCTGCTCTGTCTGGAGAGAATGCTCTGTGTCCTGCTTCTCTGAGTTTGCCAAGCCCAAGGTCAGTATCAGAATTTGCCACAAGACTCTTAAGTCTGAATAGACCAGCCACAAATTTTGGGGCTCTCCAGGGCCACCCTCACTTCTGATCAGCCAGCTACAAATTCAAGGGGCCGTAGGATCTTTCTTGGGCTTGGTAATGTGCTAGAAGAACTCATGAAATTCAGGACAGTGCTTTGCTTATGATTTTGTTGTCACTATAGCAAAAGAGTACAGATCAGAACTAGCTAAAGGAGAGATGCAGGCTGGGAAGGTTACTCCTCCCCACCCTCCCCCTGGAAGCCTTGAACTCCCCCAGCCACAGGACACAATGTTACTTGAGAGTATTACCTTCCAGTAGAGCTCACTCCAGCCTTGGGTCCCCAGAGCTCTTATTGGGCCTGATGATGTACTGCCAGGCAGGATAGGCTCCAGCCCTTTCTGGAGCTGCAGACCAACAGGTTTGTTCTTGGGCCCTGCAGAGATTGGGCCCCCATCACAAATCCTTCTGTTAGTCTGTTTGGTGGCCAATGCCTGCAGGAGGCCTGTAGATACTCCTCCCAGAGAGGCATCTAGGGGCCCAGAGATCATTCCCAGTACTCAGGGCAGAGGCTGGACCCCGCTTCGCCACGCAGCTGTGCCCTTGCAGTGTTGCCGAGGAGTGCTTGTCCATGGGCAGCAGGGCAGAGTCTGCCCCAGGGGGTTCCTCCTGGGCCACACACGTCCACGAGCTTCATGCACCACATCTGCACAGCTCAACCGACACGACATGAGGTGGGTGTCATTCTAGCCTCTCTGCTAATCCTGCTGCTGGGTTATCGTTTGCTGCTTCAGTAGGGCGTGCGAGTACATGTGGTTATGAGGAAGGATCGTAGGAAAGTTTTAATGGCTTCGAGGGCATAGTCTGTCCTTGCTCTGTGTTCCTTCCTTCCCGTCAGCTCCCTGCTCCCAGCTCATGAGTCGGTTCCCCTGGACTCACAGCTCTGTTCTCCTTGGTGAAATCCAGGGCTGGAGAAGGGTTCCAGGGTTTTGTTTCTTGCTTCTGTCACCTGGTCCCTCAGTTTGCCATCACATTGTGAAGTGCCTTCTCCTGGCCTGTCCTCCCCATGCTCGGCACTCCCCAGTGAGAAAGCCCCAGTGCTGATGCCCCGGTACGGAGGCTCTGACTGGGAGCTCTTGGCCAAGGCTGCTATACTCTTGGTATTGCACTGGGCAGAAGGGCTGATCCTGGAGGGCCTCCTTCCCGCATGGGTCTCCTGCCTCATCACAGCACTAGTCACCTCCAGTTCTCAGGACCTATACCAAGACCGGCCTCCTTGTCCTGGCCCCTGCTGTCATGCTGTCAGTTCCTGGGACTCTGCCCAAACTGCCCTGCCCATCTCTGCCCTGTGTCCGCTCTCCCTTATCTGCGAGCACAAGTGATCAGCTTACAGGACTCTGAGGGTGCTGCAGCAGACAACGTGTGACTGTGCAGAGCCCTAACTTTAGAGAGAGCAGGGAGGTACCATAGAGATGCCCTGAACCCAGATGAGCTCACCGTGATGTACCAGAGCCAGGGCTCCTGCCTCTGTCCTCACCATGCAGTTCAGAGAGGACTGCTGAAACGCCACGTCTCAGTCAGATGGGGCTTCAGCCATGGCGAGGTCAGCCAGGCTGGTGGTGGCGCCCTGCTTGGCCTCTCTCAGGGACGCCTCTCCAGTCAGAGTACCCGAGACCATGTCACTCCACCCTGTCACAACATTTTGACGCCTGCCCTCTGACCCCCTCACCTCTCTGAATCCCCACCTTTGCTCAGGAGACCATGCCTTAAACATGAATGCTAATTAAGAGAAATACAAGTTATAAAAAGGTTTGGAATTTGCACCCAGGCAGCACTGGTTGTGCCATTTAGAATCATTGGGTTACTTGGAATCCAGAAAATGTTGTTGTCATCTTTAGTCCTGTAATTTGTGGCTTTAGGTGTAATTATGTCTCCTCTTTCTTGCCAGGACAGTTTGACTCTAGTAATAACGACTCCTTGAAATCGTCTGAGTTGATGTATAACTCATTACGGGCATGCACGCCCAGCAGCCCAGCAGCCTTTGAGAATCCTTTGCAGAGAGGGCCTTAAGCAGTTTCTTTTCTTTCTTTCTTTTCTTTTCTTTTCTTTTTTTTTTTTTTTTTTTTTTTTTTTTTTTTTTTTGAGAGGGTTTCGCTATAGGGCGTGTGCGCTTGTCAGAAAGACAGACAGAGACAGAAAGTGAGAAATCACCCCCCAAGGGGATGGCTACGCCGCAATCCCTTCTCCTCCATTCTCCTCTCGAGGTCTTGGGCACGCACGCACATGCGCCTGGCATGAGTTTAAGCCACTGGGTCTGGGACTTAACCGCGGTCTACTACATGGGAGTCCAGCGACATAGCCATTATGCCAACTGCTGTTCCCAGCCTTAAGCAGTTTCTGAGAGCTGGATTTAATGGAAATGGTGGTTCCCAGGGGCAGGATCCATGTACTGGGGGCCGAACCTCACCCCCTGCTCTACAGAGGGAGCTTGTGCTCCCTGGCAGACGGAGAGTCTGAGTCAGAAGTTTAGGAAGTCCGTTATCTATTGGTACGTAGATGGCAGCAAGATGAGCACTAAAGATATTGTTTGCAGCTGCTAATTTTCGTGGACTGCATCTTGAATAAAATGTGCAACTCAAACGTGGTGCCACTTGGGAGGTGAGTTCATGGTCTGCACCGTTGCCGTGCGTGACTCCACCGTGCCCTCTTCTTTTCTCTGTAGAGTTCTCAGTCATGAAGAGGAAGAGAGGCAGGCCTAAGGGGTCCACAAAGAAGCCTAGTGCCGAGGAGGAGCTGGCCGAAAACATCGTGAGCCCGAGCGAGGACAGTCCACTGGCTCCGGAGAACGGAAGCAGCCCGGCTCCGGGCAGCCTGGAGTGCAGCAAGTGCTGTCGGAAGTTCTCCAACACGCGCCAGCTGCGGAAGCACATCTGCATTATTGTGCTGAACTTGGGTGAGGAGGAAGGAGAGGCAGGTACGTGCTGGCGGCGGGCTGGCCGGTCAGCTGACGAAGAGACACAGCTGCTGTAGCAGTTCTTCCTGGTCCAGGATGGCACCTGGGCCCAGTATGGGGTCCAGGAAGTGTACTGTTCTGAAGAGCATCTGGAAAGTGCCATTTCCATAGTGATTGTGGACAGGCCTGTCAGTGGTCTTTGAAGGGATGGTGTCACCTGGTGGTTGGTGCCCATGGTGTGCAGGTCCGGGGGCACTTTAGGAGATACTTTGGGGCTGTGGAGTTGGTTCCCCTTGGTGAACATACGCTGGGAGAGAAGATAATGCTTTAAAATGCAAAATGTTAGAGTCACACTGCCCTGGCAAGGAAGAGAAGAAGTAATTAAGTTGTAAAGGAACGAATGTTCTGATAGGAGGTCCAGGGTAGCTGGGGTCACAGTTTGGGTGGATTAAAGGAGGGAGAACCTCCTAGTGATTGGATGGGGCCACCTGAGCTCCAGCTCAGAGGTGAGGGTGCTCCAGGCCTCTGTGAGGGACCGTGATTGGCTGGTGGTGGCTGAGAATAGACTGGCTGGTACCCTGAAGAAAGTAAGGAATGTTGGGTGCTTCCTCCGGGTAAGTCCGCGGGTGGGCCTCAGCTTCGAAGCAGCTGCTCAGGGAGGCCACAGGGGAAGAGCG